CAAACACAGGGACCTCCACCACCACCCACTAAGAATGTGACTGTCTGCTGCAGCTTTGCTTGTATTACCTTTTCTTGGACCTGGTGTCTTTGAGGAGTTACACCCTGATCATCCCCCTTCCTTCTGCTTGGTTCCTGAAATGCCAGGGATATTTCCTAAAAAAAAAAAATTGCTCTCTGGATGGGGGAATTATGACAAAATGTGTAACATTTCTTTGCAGGGTGTTGCATCACCTGGTATGTGAACAAGAAGTTACACCTGATGACCAGAATATAGAATATGGCCAATACAGAGTAATTTACAATGTTTTCTTCATATATATGTACATAAAAATATATAAACTGTATAAATGGTTTCCTACTGAGTTTAAAAGCCGAATCCGGTACCGACTGAGTTTGGTCAGAGAGCTTAAACTAGGGTCCCCACTGCCGCCATTCGGTAAGCATCGTAAGGGAAGCGTGGCGAAAAGCCTTAGCATTGAACAGTATGATTCCAATCTGACAGGCTACTCCAGCACGAGCGGAACGGAACATAATAGGGCTCTGCATGGTTATTTCTTTCAGTGAAGCTCTGTGTAAAGATCTGGATTACAGTCTGTTAGACATTATTACACTTGCTCAGACAGTTCTTACTCTGTTCTTTCAGCTACAAAAATGAGGATTAGCAAAAATGGAGAAACTGCTGCACTGCACACAAACTGTCCTAATGTATTTTTATCACAAAGGACTATGTATTTCTAGCCAAAGCAGTGTACAGAGAAATGGAAATGTAGTTGTAAGCTACTTAAAGTACGAAGTTTTCTGTTAAAACACTTGCTAGTATAAAACATTACAGAAAATAAAAAGCTGAGTCAGGTGTAAAATCCATTGAAATTAATTGAAAGATCTCTTTTTTCAGACCTCTGGGTCAAACTCCGAATCACAGTAAAATGTGCTATATGGAGAAACTACTAAACAACAATCTTTTTCTCTTAGCTGATAGGTAGAGTGATACTAACAAGTATGTACCTGAGCACTGGATATTAGAATATTCAGAAATAATACTTTATAAAATAAATATAATTCATACATATACATGCCATATGATAAACTCTGCACTATAAACCCACACCGGGGTTAAACTTGTCCATGAAATGGAAAGAATGCCTGTGCATTCCTGTGGGGTTTTGGTTCAATGATATGTCACTTTTATAAAAGATTTCAATTTATGTGTCCTATACCACTTTACCATATATTATATGGTGAGAAGACTTGCCAAAAATAGTTACAAATACCTCACTGCTTAAAAACCAACCAACCAAATTTAATGTCTAAAAGAAAGGCCCAAATAAACTGAAAAATTAAAGCAAAGTAGTTACCTTTTAAAAGTAAAATAAACAAAATTACATACAAATACCTTCTGGAACCGTACATTGCTAACCACAGTAGATCTTGCTTCAAGAGGACTCAGTGGTGTCAGCTGACTCCGCGACTTGTTCCTTATGTTAGAGGAAAAATAAAGCAAATATAGCATAGCACACAAAACTTCCATGGGAAAACAACTGGTATGTTATATGTATGATATATGCGTTGTGCGCTTCTGATATTTTCCAGTAATGACAACGGCAAAGTATGTGAGCCCCATCTTATGGAAATGGTTCCTAGGAGCTTAAATTTTAATGTATAGAAAAACTTCTTGGTTTCTTTCATAAGCTAGAGCTGTACTTTGAAGTCAAGAATTTCTGGTTGACACAAAATATTCTGCTGTCCTTCAGCAGCTTTTAACTCTGAGCCAAAACAAAAAAAAAAAAAAAAAGGAGAAGAAAAATCATTTACATCAGTCAGATTAGAAAGATAAGTTGAAGGTGAGATTTGTGCTGCTAGGACTTGCTCCAGAGTACAACAAAGACAACAGAAAAGCTTTCATTTCCATCAGACCTTTAATATATTTTGCATAACATGAACAAAACTACTTTTTCAGTCAGTCCTTCGCTAAGAGAGGCCCTGCGTGAAGGCAATTACGTCATTCGTTTCTTGCTCTTGAGGAAGTTCATCATAACACACCAATTTGTACGTACTCCACTGTAAATCTGGGAAGAAGTTAAGTCATTATGAGGCACAAAGTGGCTTTTCCTTATTGCTTCAAAGACTAAAAGCGACTATATTACCAGTAAGAGGAAAATCCCAAAGGAACTGAGAAATAGTCATCCAGTGAATCAGCAAATCATACACAGCTGCAAGCAGTGTTAATTGTAACCGAGGACAAAATATTTGTAGCCGGTAAGACCACGTTGCAGTGGTCCGTCTGGTTTGGCAGGAAGCAGAGGATTCTCTTCCTCTGATTTTTAATCTAACACTTTTAGAAGTATTTCGTTCATTAGCAAAGAGAAGGCAAAGCAATGTGCAAAAGCAAATACTAGTCACAGAAATTGTGTTTACTGTGACTGTGTTTACTGTGTATATGTATATGTACTTTTTCCTACTGGATAGGCCTTTTTTTTTCCTTCTCCATCAAAATTAATTTGTGTTTGCATGGTATCTACTTATACAGTAGTCAGCCTTTCCACACCCCAAGAAGCTTGGAACCCACTGGCAGGTATCAAATTTGATGTGCAGTGACAGTCTCACAAATATTAAATTCCTACAAGGTTGTGTGAATGTTAGTGGCTGGCGAAGGAAAGGCAGGCAAGACAGCGCCCTCCGCGGGAGGAAAGCCCACAGCATCAACTCCATAGCAGGCTCCCAGTTGGCCCATGAACTATGGTTCATGCCTGAGCAGCAGTGAAGAACGGGGGCATCAGGTGAAGGAATAGAGGAAGGAACTGAAGGAATGGGAGAAGGAACAGCTGAGGCTTTTGAAGTTGTGGAGACAAGGGAGCAGGTTGTAAAAGCATAATACACAAACTCACAGGAAATCAAGCTTCATTAGTTTTGCTGTCCACAGTGCAAATTGTTTAGGTTGGGCTGCTGCTAACGTTGATGCCATTGAGTATGTGCAAAAACACCATGACTTTGATCCTGTCATAAGCTGCACTGCTACAGACAGGAGAGCGTGCAAAGCCCCGCTGACTCTGTAGTCCAGGCAGGAACTAGAGACAATTTATGCGATTTAGCCACTGAACCTGGAATGAATTCTGCATTGGCCTGTCTTCATGGCGGGAGGGAAGCTTAACTGGGCACAGTTTTGAGATGGATCTGCTTAGGCCTTCTCTTATAGCGGGGTCCCCAGAAAAGACCAAACTTCTAAACCTTAAACAAACACGTGCATGTGCATTTCATCCTAAATAAAAGCTAGCTTTTATTTTAACATTAAAATAAAAATGCAAAATGACTAGGGTAGACAGAATAGTTAAAAATATGACATGTACACCCACCTTCTCTGCCCACTATGTCCTGGCAGGATGGCTCCTTGCTTCAACACTTAGCTTCAGTAAAACAAATGTATGCCTTCTACGCTGTATTCTGAGTGTATTAAGTAACTGTTGAGCCTAACGTGTTTTTAATAACTGCAGGTATATGACCAAGGGACAGCAAACTGACCAGTTCTTTCTGATCCCTAGGAAGTTCCTTCTATCCCTTCTGAAAGCAGGGGGTTTAGGAAATACTGGCATTCAAGCAAGAAATTATTTTCTGTCATTGTCCTTTACATCTGCAAAAAAAACAGATATAGGGTCAGATATCCTTGTTTTCCTAATTACTAGTCAATGACTTGAGGTCAATGGGAATTTGAGTTCTCAGCTTTTGGCTAAATTAAGTTTCTGAGAATAGCTTTTAAAGGAAATACAATACCACTGAACAGCAGAATATTCCCTGGCCAAAACAGGGATATTAGGAAAAATTTCTTCACAGAAAGGGTTGTCAAGCGCATTGGCACAGGCTGCCCAGGGAAGTGGTGGAGTCACCATCCCTGGAGGTATTTAAAAGACAGGTAGACATGATGCTTAGGGACACGGTTTAGTGGCGGACTTGGCAGTGCTAGGTTAATGGTTGGACCTGATGATCTTAAGGGTCTTTTCCAACCTAAAAAATTCTATGATTCTATGACATTTTAATTGAGGTTCAGTATTCAACATGTTGAAAGATTATTCAAGAGAGTTACTTCTGATTGTACACCACATTTTATATTCTTCTCCTTTAAGCCAAGGACTAGGTCTCACCATTTATATGGGTAAAAAAAATGGTGACAGCTCAAAGTAGTTTTAAAATAAACTGAGGTTTTTTTGAATCAGGTACAAGCACAGTCATATTATCTGATCTCCCCAATTAAATTAAGGGCTTCTACAATGTAGCTTTGTAAACCTAGCACAAGAGGCAACGGGCACAAACTTGACCATAGGAAGTTCCATCTTAACATGAGCAAGAACTTCTTTACTTTGAGGGTAGTGGAGCACTGGAACAGGCTGCCCAGAGAGGTTGTGGAGTCTCCCACTCTGGAGACATTCAAAACCCGTCTGGACGCTGTCCTGTGCAACCTGCTGTAGGTGACCCTGCTCTGGCAGGGGGGTTGGACTAGATGATCTCCTGACGTCCCTTCCAACCCTGACTATTCTGTGATTCTGTGAAACCTAAACTAAGAGCAAGATGGGCATTTTTACTTAGCACATGCAAATATGAATTTTGATGAAAACTACCTGAGTGACACAAACCGTGAAGTAATCTTTTGTACTGAGGGACACATTGCACCAAACTCAGGCTAAGGCTAACTGCTGACATGAGAAGCCTCGCATCAACTCTCTCTAGGGCTGAATTTGCCTCATTACAAATAGGAGCAGTAAATGTCACTTTTCATGCAAAAGGGAGTCAGTGTTAGCCAAGCCACCTAGCCTCTTTCTCCAGAAAGTAGACTGATCTTTTTTATTTTGTATTTCATCTCAGGACCTCCAGAATAACTGATTGGTTAATCTGTTTTAACTTCTTGGTTCATATGACAACATTCAAGTGACACTGGTAGGTGAATTCAGTTTCAAAGTGAATTTCATACAGTCCTCCCTCCCCTAAGTGTGCAAACAATGAACAATTTACTGATGTCCTTCTCAAATTCTCAAGATGATATTCCTCACGATGAAGAACAACAGACCTTAGTACTTAAGTGTCAGTAGGAGGGTTGCCATAGACTTCAATTACACTGAGATTAAAAGCAGTATCTCTGATCAAAAATGATCGTGAAATAAATGGAACGTTTTTAGGCAAATAGAAGCACTCTATTTAAAATATGTCTAGGACGGGAATGTTGTCAGTCACAGCACAGAATAGTAATAGCAGCTTTAATGTTATCTGATAATATTAAAGTAATGTTTCCTTTTTTGTATTCAGAT